ACTAAGCCTATATAGAATAAAATCTCGCACATGTCAGTTGATCGAGCTCTTTAGTATACGTCCAATTAAATATGTAGGTGCACAACAGAGTTCACCTTCCTACGGAAAATAAGTGCTCTTACCTATTACAGTGCACACAACTACCCATCAACTGACCCAACAGCAGTGCAGGATACATATTTCTGCACAAATATGTTTTCGGAAAATATCTTCACACACATAATACGTTGCTCACGAGGATCCCAATCCGTTGAACAAATGCACAGTGCAGCAACTACGTAGGGGACACTGAGATGAGACATCACAGTACCTTTGTCGATACAGTTCGAAATGAAAGTCTCTGAGTTGAGTTCATAGTGTAGTGGCATTGTACACCGCATTTGCTTTATCTACACAGCTCACATTGCCAATACTTGCTCTATCTACACAGCTCACATTGTCATTACTTGCTTTATCTACACAGTTCACATTGTCATTGCTTGCTTTAGCTACACGGTTCACATTGCCACTACTTGCTTTATCTACCCAGTTTCATTGCCATTGCTTGCTTTATCTACACAGTTCACCTTGCCAATACTTGCTTTATCAACACGGTTCACATTGCCATTACTTGCTATATCTACCCAGTTTCATTGCCATTACTTGCTTTATCTACACAGTTCACATTGCCATTACTTGCTTTTTCTACACAGTTCACATTGCCATTACTTGCTTTATCTACACAGTTGACATTGCCATTATTTGCTTTATCTACACAGTTCACATTGCCATTACTTACTTTATCTACAAAGTTCACATTGCCGTTACTTGCTTTATCTACACAGTTTCATTTCCATTACTTTCTTTATCTACACAGTTCACATTGCCATTACTTGCTATATCTACACAGTTCACATTGCCATTACTCTCTTTATCTACATAGTTCACATTGCCATTTGCATAGGTTCAGTTCACACGTACTGTATTTCGGACGGGTAATAGTATTGCTCCAGAATCTGCAGCGCGGTCTCGAGGGCTATCACTCTATCATCGGCGCTTGTGCTGATTAGCGTATTCGTGCGCATCTCATCCAGGTCAGTTGTCTCCACTTGCACGACATTCCGACTGACTTCCTTTGTATAAAGCATGTCTGTTATAAGAAAGGGCTGCGTTAGTATAGTTCAGTAGGATGCTCTCACAACTACCACAGTGGCACACATGTAGGCCAGCACCATCAAGGATAATAAATACGGTTACAATATAAGTATATAAAGCTCAATATGGATGACATAGCCTAACCATCAAAGATAATAAAAACTGTTACAAAGATAATAAATACTGATACAATATAAGTATATATAGATCAATATCGATGAAATAGCCTAAAATAGGTCATGTCAGCCATCGACTGTAAAGCCATAGGTGCCGCACACTTCGACGCCGCGTCAAAATAGCCAAAGGCCTTCTGAGCGTCGTTTGCCGCTTGCACTATATTAACAAGTATTTGAATACTGTTCCATTTGTGGTGAACAATGCTCGATGATGTAGTATAAATAGGTATATACAGCTCGCTTTAATAACCTCTGTACGTGTATAAGGTTTAATAAAACAGTATAAATATGTCACACCAGCCATCGACAGCAACGCCAAAGGCACTGCATACTTCGCCGCCGCGTCAAAATAGCCAAACGCCTTCTGAGCGTCGCTTGCCACTCACACCATATTGACAAGCATATGGACACCGATACATTTGGAGTGTACAAAGTTCGAAAAACCAGCACAAACAGGTACATACAGCTGCATGTATACGTATATAGAGTTAAATAAACTGGTTTTAATATTTCATACCAGCCATCGACAGCAACGCCAAAGGTGCTGCATACTTAGCCGCCGCGTCAAAATAGCCAAAGGCCTTCTGAGGGTCCACTTCTACCCCTCCTAACCCCCGCCGGTATATATTGCCCAGGACGATCATTGCGGTCACCGTGTGCGCCTCAGTGGTTTGGGACGCGACATCAGCCAATTCAAAGGCGGTGGTGTAGTTCCTCGGCACACCTAACACCCAGCCAGTCAGTACAGTAGCGAAGTGAGTGGAATGAGTGGAATGAGGGGAGTGTGTGGTTTGTGGTTAGATTTTTGCCATGTGGTATATGGTCACAGAAAGGTAAAAAACATTGCGTATCGACTGCCTCTATCCACGTAGCATGCGGCAGACAACTCGAATATACCCACTCCCTGACGTCGATATGCCCACTTCTCTATGTTTGCACGCGTATCATCACAGGAAGATCAATGTACATGTGTTGAACTATACTCTACATATTTAAACATGCCATTCACCTCTGCCTTCGCAGGAAGCGGCAGATAGACATACATAGGCCATCTACTTGACGGTTAACAGGTCCTTTTTCCTTTGTTGTGCACGTACAATCACACGAACATACATCCACATGTGTAGAACTAAACACAAACCTATCATACGTATATAAACATGCATATATATCTTACCTCTGCCTTCATAGGAAGCGACAACCAGATAAGGATAGGCCATATTCCCGGCTTTTAACATGCCATTTTCTTTAGTTGCGCACGTGCAATCCGCATGAGCACACCTCTACACATGTTGAACTAAACACAAACCTATCAAATCTGCATAAACATATACGTGTCAATTACCTCTGCCTTCGTAGTAGGCGACAGCTAGGTACGAATATGCCATCTCTTGGACGGTGGTCAGGTCATATCCCTGTGCGGCGTCCCAGAATATTGTTACAGCTTCAGTGGCGTTGAGTTGAGGTACTCCGTATTGCTCGAGCTCTGGAGGTGACCGGAATCGGGAACACATATGGATTTGCGACAGATTTAGTTGCCGAATTCACGATGACAGGACAGTTTTGCAACAGAGTTTGCAACCAACTAGCACATTGTCGACCGAAGTTTCAACTCAGCTAGCAATGTCGGCCAAGTAAGAATTGGGACTCCGTGAATATGTAAATTGGATACGGGAGCAACGTTGCGTTAAGCATGCGTATGGTTTAACTCGTACATAAACATCAAACGCATAAACCACCAAGAGCGTTCACGCGTGGTCATACCGAGGCCAACACATATCACGTTATAAACATACAAAAGTGTTCAAACATAAAGAATTCGACTGTTGAGATAAGGGAGTAGTAATAATAATAAAATTATATAATAAAATAACAATATCACAATATAACAATAATATAGTATAAATAAATATAATAACATAATAATATAATAAAATATACTATAATAATACAAAATGTATAGAGTAACAATATAGTAAAATAACAATACACATACTTACATACAAACATACATATATATATATATTACACACACATATATATATATGTTTATCTCTATATATACACACAAACACACACACATATATATATATACA